CCCTGGATACGTGTGTGAGTATTTTTGAGACTTTCCTGCCAGAGGCAGGGTAACTCGTACCTTTCAGCCAATCAGATGAGAGTTGTAGTCAATGACACCAACTCTGCGCTTCATTTGCGCAGCCTCACTCTTTTTATCCATTATTTTGCAGCAGGTCCGCTCTTCTTATTTATTGTCTCGCAGCCTCACAAGCAGAATGTAGCCTGCAGAATGATGAAATATCAATCCGGTAACACAAGCACATCAGTTCGATTGTGGTCTAGCAGTCAGCGCGTTGTGTTATCAAACTGACTGTGTTATCAAAACGGCCCACCTCAGTTCAGTCGTGAACTGAGGTGGGCCGGTCAAAGGCTTGAAACTCCAGGGCTGAAAAGGAGTCCCACTCTGGCCCTGATTATATCCAATGAATGTAAACAAGCTGCTGTTGGGCTTTAGTAATATAATGTGTAAAATATACTCTATCATTCCAGAATAGTTATATAAATAATTATTGTAAATGATGCTTATGAGTATATTTTTGTTTATTAAGCCCACCTCAGTTCACGACTGACTATATTAAAATAAGGTCATTTCCAATTCAGTTTCTAATTACACTATTAAGTCTTTTTAAAGAAAACAGCTGCTTTAGAACTTCAAATGTTCAACAACCTTACAGTTTTATATGTCTTAACAATAAAAATGAAAAAAAAAATTAACCTCTGGTGAGGATCAAACACAGGTCGGCAGCTTGATAACGCAACGCGCTGACGCTAGACCACAATGGAACTGCTGTGCTTGCATTACCGGAATGATATTCTACATTCTGCTCGTGAGGCTGCGAGACAATAAATAAGAAGAGCGGTGCTGCTGCAAAATAATGGATAAAAAGAGGGAGGCTATGGTCAAATAATTAAATAAATGAAAAAAAAGTGCAACTGCGACTGCTGCTTTCTCCGTTCGCCATGCTGGAGAGAAACAGTCTGCGCAAATGAAGCGCAGAGTTGGTGTCATTGACTACAGCTCTCATCTGATTGGCTGAAAGGTACGAGTTACCCTGCCTCTGGCAGGAAAGTCTCAAAAATACTCACACACGTATCCAGGGGGAGTCGTACGTGAAAGATGATTTGCACATTCTCATTCAGGATAAACTCGCAAGTTTTAAACATTCAAAACTTTTTGTACACTCTTATACATTTGCAAATGGTGTTTTGCATTTGTGAAACGTATTTTATGAAAATGTATTTTTATTTTGAGCACGTGAAAATTTTTTGTGAATATAAATAAATATTTTACGCACGTGAATTTGATTTTATGCACGTGAATTTGGCTACGCATGTGTACATCGTGTCTTTTGCGTGAATTTCTTTTGAGACTGAACTGATTCCATAACAAACAGGTGAACTGAATACACTAATAAAGGGTTAACAAGGAGGCCGGAAATAGACAAAGATGGGAGAGCACATGCCACAAAGAGACAACTCAAGCCATGTGCTCACATAAAACGAGACTAGAACATGCAGCCAATAAGAGAACACATTTACCGCGTGTTCACATGAAACACGACACTAAAGCTTGTGCCACATGTAAACATGAACCACATGCTAAACACAACACCAACAGAAGACTGAACACAAGACACGAGTACACAATAAATAAAAACACTCACCATGCACTCACTAATGTGACATGCGTGTTGCGATCCCAGCGCCAACCGAAACCACCTAGACTGGAGTGCTGAGAACGAAAACACCATGCCACAGACATAACAACAAACACACCAGGACGATAGTGTGCATCCTGAGCACGCCCTAACATCTCATACAAAGACACACAATGACATACTGTAACGTTCAAGAAATTCGAGCCAAGCCCAACATACAAGACATAAAAGGACTAGTGTCTGGACTCTGCCACCAAAACAAGAATTAACAAGACTGAAGTGGCAGAATCCTGACAATTTGATACATAAAAGTTAAAATGCACACCTAAATAAATCCATTACTTCTTAACAAAAAGGAAATAGATATATAAACTACTGTTAACCACAACAAATTTATTGCAAGAAGTTATATTGTTAAAATATTCAACTAATAAAAAACATTTTTTAATGAGTGATATCTAGCCCCTGAACAATTTTGTATAAAGTGCCCCTCTAAAAAATGAAAGTTCCAAAGCAATTTGGATGCTTTATTGATATTATTATTATTATTATTATTATTATTATTATTATTATTATTATATTTTATGAAGGCTTTATACATTTGGATGAATGTGTCAACAGAAAGAATCCTCTTACTTTTGTAAAAGTATACGTGTAAATGATGAATGGAATTCGATTGGGTTTTAAACAACATATTGGTGAAGTAACCCCCGCAAAAATTTACACTGTAAGACCCAAAATGTTAAGGTAACTCAAACCACTTGAGGAAGCTGATTGCAACAAATCATTTAAGTTCTAAAACTAATCTTAATGAGTCCTGTGTTCTTAATCCATTTGAGTAAAATAAGCAATCTGAGCACAACTAATGAAAAGAACTCAAACCAACTGAGTACTATAAAACTTTTTTTTAATACATTAATCTGGACATCTAGCTCTATACATTTCTATGTCTGTCACATTTTATTGGTGGACCAAGAAAAAAAATACACACTCACTAAAGAAATTCTAGTTTGTCAGCAGGTGAAAATCTTGACGTGAAAAGCTCCATGGGAACCTATTCAAAATCTTCTTCTAAGCCTTCTTCTAAGAAATGGTCAGGTAACTTTAGGTGAGAAAAAACTCCTTGTACCCATGTCACCATAAATGGGAAAGACCCTGGGGATGTATAGGCCAACCTGGGGTCCAACCGGTCAATAAACTAGAGTGGGCAGCAAACAGGAACTCTATTCGAAAGGGCCTGCAGCACCTAAGCAGGAGGTGCCACAATAAGACTCAAGAAAAGTGCCTAAAACCAAACCTCAGTCCCCTGCGGGTAATGGCTGAAGGCAATGCTATCCAGGGTCTCAGAAATCATGAAAATCACCCATATCTCATAAGAGTCAATGGAGTTACTTCTTTCCTTACTGATATCAAGCTGTGCATCTGGCTTCACTGCATTTGTCTATAAAAAGTCCAGCTAATGCAATAGTCAAATTTCCTTTGCAAGAACAATAAAACGTTATCGTACTTTCTCACAATGCAGCATACAAAGCATCTTCTTGAAGTAGCACCAAGAGCACTGACAAGTTGCAAATGAACCTGTCATATCACCAAAAATCTTGTTATAGAGGTGTTGTTTTATGTAATCTGTAAAACATGAGCAAAATTCTGAAACACCAATTTAAAGGAAGCTTGCATTAGCATATGTGGTATTGTATTATCAGCATACCTCATAGTTAATTCTATGCTGTATGTTCCTTGTCTGAACTTCACTGCTCAAGCTAAATATTTAGAGAGACATTTAATTGCTTTTCGTTTTCACAGATATTTGGTTACTTCCATTAGCTAATTTGAATAAGTAGATTACTTACAGCTGAGTATTTATGTTTCCCAGTCATATACAGCTTCTCTTTTAAGTGCAAATAAACCTTTTGTTCAAACATGCCTGGTGCACAGCCATTGATAAGATTTATCTCTATGCTGTGAGATGCACTTTACAACATCAAAGCCAGAAGACGAAAGTCAAGATTTTACTGATTTTTACAGACTATTCCCGGCTGAGCTGAAGTAGAGATGCATCATGGGATTTTGCATGACTCTTAAAAACAGCATTGTCACTTATGCCTCAGACTGAACATTTGCCTACCATATATACTATTTCCCTGGCTGTCATCAACAATGTAATTCCAATGTGATTAAAAGATACAGTAACTGACTGAATAACAGTGACATAAAATGAAACAGCTGAATAAAATGAAAAATGGAAATGTAGCAATTGAAATCTTCCAAAGAATCTAAATAAAAAGCAGCTTTGAGAGCTAGATGCTTTTAAACACACAACATTAGAGAGTGAGGAAAGAGTCATTTTGCATGCTCTAATGGGTTATGACAATCAATACATCATTAGCTTGCTCTGCAATTTTAATTATTGACAGATGTCTTTTTTAAAATTTATTCCAGCTTTACTTTTAGAAACTAAATTATGCAAACACATTACAAATGAAACAGGCTGGATTCTGACAGTTTAAAAGATCATACAAAAATCTGAGGCTTTCATTTTATATCTCAACAGAATATCAGTGTTACAAACACAAAGAATATTAATTATAAACATTAGGGTGAAAAGTGAATAAGCCTTTCACAATGTGAAACAAATTTAAGGGGGTCAATATCAAGATGCAGATGCGTGTGGCAGGGCAGTGCTTTTTGGTAAAGGAACCATTGACTCCTGGTTTACAGTTTAGATATGACAACATTATAGATGTACTACACTACATATATTTAATCATATAAGTATGAACTCCTAAATGCGATAGTTTAATGTTATAAATATCTCTGTGATAAGTAAAAAATGCATAATTATTGAGATTTATTTGTCATTTTGCACATTTAAGTGTCTCTAATATTGGCCGACACATTAGTAGCTGGCTTTAAATATAAATAATCATCAGTAATCTTACAGAAAAAAAATCACACAAGCTTCATTTGTGCATTCACTTGTTACAGTCAAATATAAAATATTTAGAACACAAGTGGAACATCCATTAAAAGTGTAAAGCAAGTGAAAATTGGTTTTGGAAAGTTAAATTTTATTTTTAACGTTCACATGCGATTTTAACATGTGATTGCACAAGTGAATCGTGTGAACCTCATATCTATTTTCTACAGGGGTATTAAGCATAAGTTGACCATTTCTATCAATGAAATTGCAAAGCCAAAAAATGTAGTCAATTCCGTTTATAAACTACCTAAGGAGTCAAGGGTGCTTACTCTTGCTCTGATGAATATTTGCACCATGCACAATAAAGAATTTACCTCTATTTCCTGAGGCGTTCATTTGTTTTGATGTGATTTGATTTTAGGCGGCTTTCACATGTCATACCTCACATTCCCGGGAGCCGGATATGGTGCAGGTGCAGGTACCTGTTCCATTTCCCAGCACCTCCAAGGCTTCTGGTGTGGCGGCGGGGTTGTAGCTCATGTAATATTCCTGGAGCTGGGAGCTCAGGTTCTGCTCTGGCTCCTGACTTTTTTTCCTTCGCTTTCGGCCCACTGAACTCTGCTGCAACAGCCGAGTGGCGCCAGGGTAACGTTTGCAGGAGACATATATTACTGACAAAACAAGGGACACTGAGAAGAATAGTGCCACACCACCCATAACCACTTTGTGAAATGACACGTTGTCTTGCTCAGGAACTGGTGTCACTAATGAGCTGTCAAAAGATGAAGGTGTCCGTTGATGAGAGTCTCTGGGATCTGTGTTTGTACGACTGGGAAAGGTGGGGCGATGAGGTGGGCGAGGCTGGGGAGGAGGAAAAGGTGCCTCTGAGGCGGGGGATGGCAGGGGTGGTGGCGGTGTGGTAGGAGCCATTGTTGGTTCAGTTGGTTCAAGAGCAAGGTCATAATTTGGATCAAACGTCTGCAGATACAAAGGAGATTGAGCGGTAATTTCATAATCATCACAGTCAATGTAGTTCTTTGAAGCCTCAATGACTTTTTCCCCTTGAAGGTGTTTGGGACTGCTGCAGATTATATTAGTGTCCTTGGTGCCTCTGAAATTCTTGAGCCAGACAACAAGAGGACAAATACCCGGACCACAATCCCACATATTGCCTGCAAGGCTAATAGTTGTTAGTGAGATCCAGGCAGCCACAACTTCCTGAGAGACATTGGCGAGTTTGTTAGACTCCAAGTTGAGAACCTGAAGATTGGGAAGGCATTGAAAGACTACAGGATCTAGTACCTGTATCTCATTGCCAGAGATGTCAAGCCTCTGCAGGGTATACCAGCTCCACGGAAGGCCTTGGTTGACAGCTCGAATACGGTTCCACTGTAGGTAAAGGGCTCGAAGGTTGGCAAGGCGTGGAAAGAGAAAGAAGTTGATTCGTGAAAACTGATTGTGTTCCAGGTGGAGTTCCATAAGTCGAGACAAACCTAGGAATGCTGTGCGAGTTAGAACCCGAAGCCGATTATAGCCCAAGTCTAGAAACTCCAAGCTTCGGCACTCCAAAAACGCACGGACAGGGATTGCCGTAAGCCCATTTGAACGCAAGTGCAGATTTTGCAGTTTTCGAAGACCATAAAACTGGCCAGGCTGCAACTCCTGCAACTTGTTATAGGACAGATCGAGACTACGAAGGTTAGGTACTCCATGGAATGTGACATTGTGGAGCTGTGAAATCCTGTTCGAGCTCAAGATCAACTCCTTCAATCGCCGCACCCCCTGGAAAGCACGACTATCAACGAACATGATTTGATTGTGGTCCAGGTAAAGCCAAAGCAACTGGTTGAGATGGGCAAACTGGTAAGGGAGCATTGTGTGCAGGTCATTGTAGCGCAGAGACAGACCTTGGCAACTAACTGAAATATTTTCTGGGACGTCCTGGAAGGCAGACGACTCACAGTGGACAATCTTTCCCTCACAATGACAGCTATAGGGGCACATTCGTTCCCCAGAACTGAACAGCAGGAGGGAGGAGGCTTGAAGCAGGAGGAGGCCTGCTAATCTCATGTCACACGCAAGAGAACCTGCAGTAAGAAAAGAATACAATGTCAGCTTATCATGTTTAATATAAAGACACATTTTTTATAGCCAAATACTGTTTTATCAAGGTAAATTTGATAACATTTTTCTTCTAACAACATCTACAATGGTTTGTGTGCACCTACAGTATTTTTGTGGTCATTAATTATTTTGACATCAGTTTAACTTTATAACTATGCAGAGTTCCTACTCTAAGCCACACACCAAATTCTCAGACTTTTCCTCACTACAAAGCTGATATTCCATTGCCATAGACAGTATTTTAACAGCCTAGTGACAGTATTTGACTTAAGAGAATGTTGAACAAGAAGGAAATTAAATGACACTGATAAATGCATTTTGCTGAAGAGAAGGTAACATTGAAAATGACAAACACTCACTCACTATCCTTCAGCTTAGTCCCTGATTTATCAGGGGTCGCCACAGTAGAGTAAACCACTAAACGCCAAGCAAAATCTCTTATATTCCATTATTCAGACAAAAAAATACAACTCTCTGATTTTCAATGTCTGGAATAGATAGTCCTTTTGAAATTTCATGCTATTCTATAAACTTCATGGCTCTTGAGAGCCGATTGTAACTACTAGAATGACAATATCAGCCATTCTGACCATTTATACTAGAATAACCCAAATGTTATGTGTAGTGGCTTTTTTCTCTAAGGAGGCTCTCTCAGTGGTCAAGAAACAAAGTCTTACCCGGGATGTCTTTTACAAGTTTTATTCTTTATAAAGAAGATCACAGTCATACAGCAACAACAGTTTCTGCAGAGTGAGATACTAAAGCAAAGTGTGTTCCCCTTTTTATCTAGTTTGTACTGCTTACGAGGTCAACTCCCAATAAGGCCTCATCTACAATTACGTCAGGTGTCTTCTGCTGTTCGTGCGATATGCTCATAACAACCACACATCCTTCTTAGGATAATGAAAAAGCTTTCACCTAAAGAAATATAGTTATCTATAAAAATGTACACACATAGGTTTTATGATGAACATATGGAGAACACAGATACACACAAATGTAATAATGAGTCTTAGACAAGTTTCTAACATATAAAGCTCATCTAAAAATGAATTTCCATTACATATGTTTGCGACAAAATATTTAGATTTGAAAGTTTTAGAATGACTGCCATAATCTATCATTCTTTCTTTGTAATATACAATTTTGGAAGAGCTACAAGATTGCCCCTGAATGCACATACCTTGCTTTAATAATTGATTTGTTATGTTAGAATAGGTAATATTATAATAAAATGAATTGAATACATTGAATAAGATCATAATGAATTTAAATTATTTCACTGACAACCACAAAATTAGCTTATTAAAGAAATGCAAAGTATAATTATTAACAATCTTGGTTGAGATTAATGCAAATTAAATGTAATCAAGTGACTTTACCCAGGATTTAAATGTAGCCATTTATAGAAATATGTAATAATTTAGCTGTTTTATATTGTTGCAAATGTATATTCTTATGTCAGTTTTTAGATACATATTAGTAGTAACCATAGTAACTCAGTGACAGTTGCCATAGCCCTCATTCCTCTTGAGTATCTCAAAAACACTGATGTGTCTTCACCAGGAAGCCAATGGAGTCAAGCAGAGGTATCTAACAGGTTACTGTGAGCTATGGCAGTGGCCCCCAAATGGACCAGTCAACGCTTGACAATTTTACCGCAGACTGTTAGGGATGGTTTGGTGATTCGTAGGTTGCTAGGCATTCATCAAGTCAAGTTGACAGGTGTTCTGTGTTTGTCTGGGATAAATAGTCTACCAAAATGTGTATAAAGCTGATAGATCAGTGCTTGTCAAATGACTCGCCGTGCACTCACGGCATTTATTCAACCGTCGCACACCTCCATTGGAAGCAACGAACTTGCGTGAATTCTACAAAAGCGATATGCGAACGACCCCTAAAAGGCTGCCGTGATTTGCGATCTCCAGCAGTTGAACTTCTTGAACAGACATGCTGGATTCACCTGATTTGTAAACAAATAAGTTGCGGATTTATTCCTTGGCAGTTCACGGGTCCTTCACTGGACTGTTTCTTACTTATTTTGCTGCTTGTGTATTCATTTTGGCCGCTCAAGTGACTGAGGTGTATAATCAGGAGAATATGGTAACTTTTCAAAATAAAATATTTTTCCAAAATAATAGATTGTTCAGGTTCAGATAATAAATAAAACAGAAAAAAAAGTGTAGCTTGGTACCAACTGATCCACATACTGGTACCGGTCCGTGGCCCGATGGTTAAGGACCACTGAGGTATTGCTTTATTTACATGTATACAAACAATCTCTTTCTCACATGTGCGATCCTGTCTGTCAGAGAAATTAGGGGCTATAAGATCTAACATGTCGTAATCGACAACAATGCTGTCAAATATTGCAAAGATTGTTTTAAATAGTCTAAAACATAGAAAATGATTGTGGAATAAATGGGATAACAGGACTGTTCAGACACAAGGAGTCATTATGGTGTTAATTTGTTTCTTTTAATGACAACAGTAAATGACAGTGTAATTTTCTAGGCTTCTGGGAGATAGATATTGATGTTAGTATTCTTACTAAATAAAGTATACTTTCATCCTTGACTTGACTTTTATACTTGACTCGCTACAAGTATTGATGCTACTAGCTTAACTACATTTCTCAATAGTGTGGCGGTAGCATCGCTACTTTCTAAGTCCAATAGCTTTTCAGTAGCGAAGCTATTTAATTAGTCAAGTAAGGCAGTAGCGTCCACACAAACTACATTTACTGATGGTGGATCAATAAGTAATGGCACCGATATTCATGGAGCTGTGAGGCCGGTGTCAAGCCGATGAAAGTAAATTCATATGATGGTGAGAATGATAATTTCTTCTTCTTCCTATTTTACTGTGTTCGACAACAAAGTTTTTGGTGTGTTAATGCCACCTCTGGTTTGCGATGTCACCAACCGAAACTTGCTTGAAGGAAAGATGACTAAGGAAGAGGAGTTATTTCTGAAGCTAGATTTCTCGTTACCATACCTCGAGAAGTATAAACATTTGTAAGAAAAATTACAAACAAATAAAAAAACGAACGAACGAACGAATGAATAAAATTTCAAACAATGCAATTTAGAAACATCGCAAATGATGAAAGAAGAGTTCAACATGTCTCAAGTTTGGAGCGTATTTTTGATGCTTAAGAATTAAAATGCACACCAATGAATCTAATACTTCTTAACTAAAAGGAAATAGGCATATACACTGTTTATTGCAATAAGTATATTCCAAGGCGTTATATAATTAAATATTCATGTTAAAAAGTAAATTAAGTTTTATATATCTAATAATTCCAGCTAGCTTTAAATAACTTTAAATAACTAGCTTTAAATAACTATTGTATACACAAAACTTTCCGTTGTTATATGTAAAAAGGCCTAACTACATGCAATACCATTCAAATATCTTGCTCGTCCCCAACTATTGACAGCATATCACTCAATGAGAAAAGGAGAGAGAGAAGAATTTGCACTTGCCATAAATTTTCTGCTCTATTCATTTAACCTAAGAAATGTAATGTTTAGACCATCACTGTGTGTTTTTGGGGATCACGGAGCCGGTAAATATTTTCCGGAAGACTCGCAGAGCTTCCAGGACAGGCCATAAGATTGCACGAGAAACTAGACAGCAGCGATCGCTCTGCTTGCGTCACAGCAGCTTAAAACACTGGAAATACAATGGCTGCACTTGCAACAAAGGGCATCACTCATGCAAGTTGCACCAATAAACATGAATAATATACAGGAGCGCATGTACTTCTTCAGTCCTGTCAGTTGTGGCGTGCGCCCTCTCATTCCCATACAGGTGAGATGGGCAGTGTGAACTCCACCATGCATGATTCAGAGAGCAGAAATTTGAAATCATGCGAACATGTAGAGACAGAAATGACATACTGTTGTGTAAATAAAATATTACATAGTTAGCTGGTTTATTAAAAGAAGTTGTGAATGGACATGTATATAAAATAACATTAACTTGACTTCAAGGGAGCAGAGAAAGCCATTGGTAGGGGAAACACTACATTCTTCTTAATTTTCGCCTGTCCTACTTTTCCCAGAATCGGTTTACTGTATGATTGGAATGTGTTTTATTCATCTCTCCACGCAAGGTAATAGATCACTTCATGAAATAAAACCTTCCCACTCCCTGTCAAGCTCAGCACACACAGCGCCAATACCTCTGATTGGTTTTCTGCTGACATCTGTCTCGGAAGATGAGAGATCTCATTTTTATATTCAATTCTCTCACTCTGACATAAAATACATCTCATGTTCTAGCAGAGTCTCAAATAAAGCATCCAGCTGCCATGACATCTACAGTACACATATATTATTGAATAACATAACAGCCAGCATTTAGAGTGTTTTTGACATACTGCACAGCTCAAATTAAATCCCTATAAATCTGTTGTTTCAGTTTTGGCACTCTCTTCTGAATCTGAGTAGAATTGCATAAAAGTCTCCGGAGAGTCATTTGGATTAATTTTCTAGAAACCATTTTTAAAGCTTAGTAATTATCACCTATTCACTAATCAACTTTAAGATGTGACTAATGTCCGGCAATAACTTGAAAACCATATTTTATACTGTTCCGTGGAAATTGATTAGTCAATTTAAAGCTGAATCATTACATCAAATGTAATTACTCTGCAGCTATTACCTCCGCTATTTAAAGTGTGTTTCATACTATGTTATCCATGCCAGAAAAGATGATGCAAAATGGACAATTCTTTTGCATCCCATAGATTTTAAGTGCAACTAGAGTTTTCTTGGCCAGGAGAAAGAATACAGCAAAATGCAGAACAAAGACAAGACAATTGATCGAAGTCCTAATGTATAACCGTGCGGCTGAAGATCTGCACTGGGTGTACGATGAACTCATTGTCTACTGCTAAAAAAAGAAAAGAGGCCATCCAATCATGCACAGCAAACCACAGAGTCATCAATTT